AAAATTAAAATAGTAGTATTTTTGATAAAGCTGTAACTGCTCAAAGGTTGGATAGTTTTACTAGTATTATGCAGTAAAAATGAGAATGAAAAAAATTCCTTTAGTGACTTTTTGGAAATTTGGACCGCACGTGGAATATGAGTTTCACTTTTTTTTCGTGCTTCGTAAACTTCGTTGCATACCCCTCTAAATTATGACCCCTGRTGTGTGGTACGTACCGTACGGTAGTTAGTAGTTAGTGTGTGTATTACCGGCCGGTACGTATTCGTACATACGACCGGTACTTCCTGCTACTATCCTCGTACTATGTGTATTGTATGACTGTATGGTACCGTGCGTCGAGTGCGAAGTAAAGGTAAAGGAACACTCCGTAAATTCTACTTATTACAGTAGTACCTTAGTAGTTTCTCTAGATCCTTTATTACTGTGTTACTCCTACCGTACCGTTTTCATGTGTACTCGTACTCATACAAGAAGATACTACCGGTACGTAGGTACGGTTTTTATGCTAAATGTACCGGTTACCGGTACTAGTGATTCAAACCAAAAACAACAACGAAAGTTTTCATACCGGTTCGTACCGGTACCAGGTACGTTACCGAACGGTACGGGAGGTCGGCGTCAAAATTCGATGTATAACTTCTGAATATTGATAATCCGTACTCGTGACACTTTCTTCCTTGCATCGTTTCCGGCATCGATCTATCGTAAGGCAGCGGCACCACAACGAATACCAATCTGGGCTGCATGTACGCGGTGCGTCATGTACTGCTAGCACTACACCATGGAATGCAAGGTATCGAAAATTGCGTTCTTATTGTATTCTTTGTATTGGTTATGTGATTTCTCGCAAGCCTACTCAAAAATCGACCGGGAAACTCGCCTCCGTCGTTTGGTTCGTTCACCGCGTTCTGGCCGCCGCGGCCAGCGGTCCCTCGGAAAGCCGCTGGCTCGCCCAGTTGATACCCCGCTGGAGGTTCTTTTCCGTCAGCCGCGCGATCAGCAGCTTTCCAAAGTCCTGTAGCGGCACCCGGTATTCCCGAACGATGGGGATGAGGGCCCGCAGCCTCGCGGTGGTGGCATTTCCCCCGTTCCCGAGATTGTTGTTGTTCCCTCCTCCGATGGCCCCGTCGTAGTCCCCTCCCAGAAACTGAACGAGTTTCGTGATCTGCTGCACCATTCTCTTGTCGTTGTCGCTCAGCTCCGGATTCAGGGCCCGAAGAAAGGACGGCGTGGGGAGGTTGGAGAGCCCGACGCGGCGGATAAGTTCCTGGGTCGCCTCGCGGCTCGAGGCGTCCACCACCGTGACGATTTCTTCCAGCATGAATTCCCGGAAGGGCTCGCCCTCTTCACTGAAAAAGAACCGGAGGCCCTCCCGGACGGTTTCCTGGTCTTCCTCGGTTTGATCCTGGAGGTTGCTTCCGCCGACGTTGTTGTTGTTGTTGTTGGACACCCGGAAGCGTCCCCCGTCGATGTCGGTGTCCCGCTCCGAGGTGTCGACCACCTGCGATCCCACAAAGTCCCCGGCGCTCCCAACGACCTTGTTTCCCCGGACGCCATCCACCTTGTATGCCGTTCCGTCGCCGTCGTCCCGGATGGCCTTGAACTTTTCGAGGGCCTCCAGGAGGTCGATCAACCGCTCGGCGTCGAACTCTCCCTCGCGGCCGTACACCATGTACCGGAGCGCGGCCCGGAGCCGCGGCGAATCGTCCGTCATGAGCCGGCGGGCGATGTAGGGGTAGGCCTCGTCGATGATGGCAAACTCGGGGTTGCCCACAAGGGCGATCCCCTCCAGGACGGAAATGGCCCGGATGACCAGCGCAAAGTAGGGGGGGATGCGAAAGGGGAACTCGTAGGTGATGACGGCCAAATCGGCGGCCAGCTCCTGGAAGTTGATCGACTTGGCGCCCCCGCCGGCCAGSGCCACGTCAAAGACGGTGGTGAGGGCCGGGACGATGGGSGAGGTGTCGGTTCCCTCCGGAATAAAGTCCAGGTTGATGAAATCCTGTCCGATTTCGGTGTAGTCGCGGTTGATGAGGTGGGCAATGGCTTCCACCATGCCGTATTTCTGGTTGTCGGTGATCTCGGTCATCAGCCCGAAATCGAGAATGGCGAGTTTTCCGTCGGTGGTTCGAAGCATGTTTCCGGGATGGGGATCTGCGGGCAGCGGGCGACAACGCAACGCAACGCATCACATCACAACGCAACGCAACGCAACGCAACAAAGAACAAAAGAGAAAACGGGTGAGCTGTCTTGCAACGATTTTTCTTGGATTCTGTTTCGTGTCCCACCACCCGCGGGTGCCTCCACCCATCCATCGATTGCTCGCCCCACACCCGGCGTTACTTACCCGCGTGAAAGAACCCCTTGTCCAGCAGCTGCGTCATGTAGGTAATGACCCCGAGGTTGACCAGGGCGCCGACGTCGTCGGCCTTGGACTGGCTGAGCTTCTCCCCCTCGATCCACTCCGCCACGTGGACCCGCCGGCTGGTGAACTCGGGGTAGTTCTTGGGGATGACGACCATGGGCAGGACGCTCATGTCCTCGGCGATCCGGAGTCCGTTCTCGCACTCGAGGTTGTAGTCGAGCTCCTGGTAGAAGCGAAAGGCAAACTCGTCCAAGAGCGCCACCGCGTCCAGGCGGTCCGTCAGCTGGGGAAAGTTCCGGGCGATGAGGCCGATCTCCCGGGCCAGGAACAAATCGAGCGAGACGGTTTCGAGGACGGCCGGCCGCTGGACCTTGACGGCGACCGTCTCCCCCGTCGACCGGAGGGTGGCCTTGTAGACCTGCCCGAGGCTGGCGGCCGCGACCGGCTCGGGTGTGATCTCCGAGAAGATCTCGTCCACCGACTTCCCGAGCTCGTCCTCGATGGTGGCAAAGGCCACCTTCGAGTCGTAGCTCGGGACCTTGTCGCAGAGCTTCTGTAGCTCCACCATCGACCGGGGCGACAGGACGTCCGGCCGGATCGAGAGGGCCTGGCCGATCTTGATGTAGAAGGGCCCGAGGCTGGTGATGGTGTCCCGGAGCTCCCCGGCCCGCTGGATCTCGAGCTCGGGGTTGTCCTTGATGCGCCCCAGCAGGGCGTCCAGGGCCAGCTTCACGGCCAGTCCGCCCCCGACGCTCGCCAGCTGGAAGAGCCGCTGGACGATGGTGAGCGGCCGCTTCTTGAAGAAGGACTGGAGGGCGGCCGGGTCGTACTCGTAGGGGAGGCCCGTGTCGGGGTCGGTCGAGGCGGCCCCGATGTCCACCAGCCTCATCTGGAGGCCGTCCAGGGCCGTGTCGTCGTCGTTGAGGTTTTTCCCGCGGAGGGCGTCCATGACCATCCGGGCGTCCTCGTTCTCGTTGAGCTGCTTGCGGACGTCGTTCACCATGGCGCYCGTCTCCGACATGGAGGAAGCCGAGAGCGAGGAGGAGGAAACCGATGCCACGGTTCTCGCTTGCCTTGCAATGGTGTGGAAGGAGGCCGCGTCGTCCACGAGGGAGGACGCGAGTGCCATCGACAGCAGCAACGACGAACTCCGGAGGTTCATGGTATTCTTCTTCTTTTTTGTTGTGTGGTGATAGTAATGTGTTTTATGCGTGGTGTGCTGCAATGTGTTCCTGCCCTGCCCACTTCTTGATGAAAAGGATGTTATTGATAGCGTTGCTGCTCTTCTTTTCTTCCGCGGTTTGCTGTGTTTCMGTTTGGTAGTTGTTTCGGTACCGGTAGGTAGTTTCAGCTCAATTTCGATCCAAATCTAGTCCTTGTCGGCATGTGATTCTCGTGTTTTCTTCTTCGATTGGCTGTTTGTGTCAGATTACGCTCTTCTCGTTGTATCGTTACTCGTACCGTACAAACCTGAGACAGCAAGYAGTATCCCGACAGAAACCAAACRGAAGAATTTCAGAGAAGGACTTGGCAACGAGCAATCATGCCTACCTGGTGTGTGCTTGTTTTTGGGAATGATGGACCCGATCTGACGCAGTTGGGCTAGTTGTTGGTCCTTACCGTAGTACAGTACCGTACGGTACGGTATTCAATTCTGCTGGATCGTGCATCGTGCGTGGTCTCGTCGATGAGTTTTACAGCACGATGTGCAAGTGCGCCCTAGAAAAGAAAAGGATAGAAAAGAAAAGGATTGCGTCGAGTGAGTCGAAATTGTCGAACGCGTCCGTGGATAGAGCTATTAATGGTAAGTCCCGTACTGGCAAGTTATTGCCAATTCCGAACCTCCAGGGCCGGCTGGCTTGCCTGCCATGCGCATGTACCCCCTGTACATTCAGTACTGCAGTACTAATTATACRTAATCTACGWACATATTTTTATACAGCGAATCAGTACTGATGCACCTCCATCCAATGCTGCACCTCCACCGTCGAAAATACAAAAAATACGGAGCAAACACATCAAATCGCCTCCTCCGGAAGCAAAACAACAAGCGTTCATTCATACTCAACCGCAAGCGTTCATTCATACTCAACCGCAAGCGTTCATTCATACTCAAGCGAAACGGCTGTTAACAGTCTCATACTCAAGGAACTGGCGTGCGGACGCTTCAATACACAAGGAACTGGCGTGCGGACGCTTCAATACACAAGGAACTGGCGTGCGGACGCTTCGATACTCAAGCAACCGGCCTGCGACGCTTCGATACTGGCCTGCAACGATTCAATACTGAAGCAAACGGCTTGCGTCGCTTCGATACTCAAGCAAACGGCTTAGCAAACGGCTCTTGCGTTTGCGGATACTCAAGGGAAACGGCGATTAACTGTCTCATACTCAAGGGACCGACCGGCCTGCAACGATTCAATACTGAAGCAAACGGCTTGCGTCGCTTCGATACTGAAGCAAACGGCTTGCGATGCTTCGATACTCAAGCAAACGGCTCCTGCGTTTGCGGATACTCAAAGGAAATGGCGATTAACTGTCTCATACTCAAGGAACCGGCGTGCGGAGGCTTCAATACTCAAGGGACCGGCTTGCGACGCTTCGATACTCAAGCAAACGGCTCTTGCGTTTGCGGATACTCAAGAAACCGGCCTGCGACGCGATACTCAAGCAAACGGCTTGCGACGCTTCGATACTCAAGCAAACGGCTCTTGCGTTTGCGGATACTCAANTTGCGTTGCTATTTGCGGTTTTGCGATACTCAATCAAGTGCGGATCTCTGTATTCCTCAAGTTATTTGCGTTGCTATTTGCGGTTTTGCGATACTCAATCAAGTGTGGTGGATCTCCATATTATTTGCGGTTTGCGATACTCAATCAAGTGCGGCAGATCTCTGTGTTATTTGCGGTCTGCGATACTACTCAATCAAGTGTGGATATCTTTTGTGGAGACGACGCTTCATACTCAAGTGTTTTGCAGTGCTCTTTGAAGTGCAGCGACTCAAGTGATTTGCAGAGAGGACTCAACTCAACAACCAACCATTTATCATTCAAGTCAATCTAATTGCGGCACAATTGATTCATCACAGACCAATCTGTCTGAAGGGTGTAGTGCCAAGCTAATTTGTCTACTGACCGGCCAGCTCCAATGGCAGGAAGAGAGCATCTTCATCATGGAYGTGATGATCCTCATCACAGACGTGGGGCATGTCATCATAAGGACAGCAATCAGAGAAGTGTACAATTATTGTCTCAAGAGGATGTTCTTGATCCCATGGAAGATTTCCTTCTACAGGAAGAGAGGCTCATCCATGATGAGCAGATTGAAGGAGTGGATTGTGTTATTACAATCCCAGGCACCATTCCAATGCGACAGAGAATCCTACCATTACTCTACAAGGGACAGAGGATCACTAGGCAGGAATCATTGGACCTTTTGCTGACAAAGAAAGGAAAAAGGAAGCAGTGCAATGGCCTTGTTTACTCTCCTGACCAGATGCCAGATGAAGAAGGTGGTGGTGAGAACAATGGTTGGATGACTGTGATTCGCAGGCCAGTCAACAAAGATCCTAATCCACAAGCTTCATTCTTGATCAATGTTCCTRTTCCAAAAGATGCTGATCCAAATACTAGTGGTCATATCATGGTTCACTATTTTGAAGAATCAGAATGCATTGATGATGATGACAGAAAGGATTTTGAATCATTCCTTCAGACCCATAGCCATGTCCGAGCTGCTCCTTATGAATCAGGCAAAATGGTTTCAGCTGGTTGGCGATTTGACTATGCTTCCTCAAGTCTGACTACCTACAGAGGTGTTCATATGACCAAATCTGCARCTGACTGTTTGATGAAGCGACACTCTCTGAAGGTCAATCAATTCATGATGAATTCAATTTGCAAGAAGCCATAACTCCGCAAATTGAAGAGGCATAGGAAATTTTCAACTGGAGTGAATGTGAAGTCAAAGAAATCAGGAAGGGAAGTRACACTGATGCCTTCACTTGCCATTGCTCAAGATCTGACAAACAGTTTACATACTGATGTTCAGGATGATACTCAGGGATTTGCAGTGTACTTCTCAAGGGATCCCAAACAGCCTGGTCTAACATGGTTTGTTTTACCAGAGCATGGGTTGGCAATACAGTTGAAGGCAGGGACTGTACTTTCATGGGAATCTAGTGTATTCCCTCATTGCAGCTGCAACTGCCGACAAGGTATCTATGGGTCCAACCCTAGGTCAAACAGGCAGGTCAATCAAAAGTCCATAGCAGAACTAGCCTTTTCCACTCATGGGCATGCTTACAACTTAGAAGTAGGCCAAAAGGTTCTTGTCAGAGCAACATTTGGTGACCTCAAAAAGCTGGGTGTGACCTGGAAATC